TTGTCACAAAAAATACACATGTGAAGTTTGAAAGCCTAAGCTCCAACTGTTAAAAAGTTATGGCCAAGGTAAAAGTCTCATAAAATTTTGCAAAAGTGGGTCAAACTCCAAGATCAAGGTCAAAAGGTCAAATATGATGGTACCCAAAGAAAGGTCTTGTCACAAGGAATACACATGTGAAATATAAAAGCCATAGCTCCAACCAATCAAAAGTTATGGGCAAGGTTAAAGTTTTTGCGGACAAACAGACAGACAGCTAGACAGACAGACAGACGGACGGACAGACAGGGCAAAAACTATATGCCCCCGAATCCTCAATTACGGGGGCATAAAAATACCTTAATTGAGATAAGAAATACCAACAATTTAACTAAGGTCTTCACAAGTCATACCATAATTTCTCTGACATATATTCCCATCTACTCCACAAGCCACCAGACTTAACTTTTCAATTAATGAAGATATTAAAATCTGCTCTTAGTCTTAGATTAATCCAATATCATAGCATTGTCTGATCATACCTCTCGATGTCTTGCTTCCTTTGTATAAGTTCTGCCTTTAGTTTTTCTTCGTTCTCTCTCAGCCGCTGCAGATCCACTTCCTTACTGACCTGACTCCTGGAGACATCCACTATCTGTTTCTCCCATCTCTCTTTCTGCTGGTACAGTTCCTCTTGTAATCTAACAAATATCAAAACTTAATCAAATGGGTTTTTTTAAAACCAAACTTCCACACATAGCGAAAGAAGGTCAAAAATATAAATGTCAGTATTTGAGTTAATGGTGGTCCATATATTAAGGTGTCAGAGCAAGTATTTCATCTTTAAAAGAGTTTCATACATTAATTTTCAGTGCTGCTTTCCTTACTTTTCTATCTGTAGATCTTTTTCTTTTTCTAGATCCGCCTTGTTCCACTCTAATTTCCGCATCTCCACTTGGCCGTCCTCCAGCTTTGCCTGCAGTTCTCTGATGTTAGCCTGCAATGACTGCTCCCTCTCAATGTAACCCTCCTTAATCTTAGACAAGGCAGTTTCTTTCTCACGAGCTAATTTATCCAGTTCTGCATGTCTGAAATCAAACCATCATAATCAAATGTTGTATAAATTAAGTTTATGTAACTGAAAACTTAAGATTTTCTATGTAATGTTTGTAAATAATAAATATGTTCTCACTTTCTTTGGAAATCCTCTTTCATCCTATTCATCATTGTTTCCATTTGCTGGGCTTGAATTTCTAATTCAGATATCCTACAACACGTTAAAATAAATATTAGTGAAGTAATGCTTATCAAAAATAAAAATTCAGTTTCAAAAGTTTTGAAATACAAATATTAACTACTCCATCACTGAAATACAATAAACCTAATTGCTGCTAAGACAAACCAGCAACTACAAATTTTATCCCAAGAATCTGTCCATTTAAGAAGAAACCCCCCTCCCCCAATAGAAGAAGCAGTGAAATGTACTAGCGTAAGTACCAGTATGTACCTAGCATCTTTCATAGAGGTGACATCTGCGAGCTCCCATTCCTTTTCCTTGAGCTTTTTCTCGAGCTCTCTGTGACTGTGTTCTACGTCACTTAATTGCTCACTCTCTTTAGCCTGACTGGTTTTCACTATCTCTAATTCTTTTGCCAAAAGTTTTGCCTGTGATAATACACAATGATTATTTTTATTATATGCTTGAGTGTTTTTCTACGAAACAAAGTACATGTATATAACTTTTTTATCTGCATTAATATTATTTGATAAATATACAATTGTCATAAATTTTTGTAAAATAATTTTATGGTCTGGTAAAGTACCTTTAATTCATACTCTAGGACTTTTGCACTCATTTCATCTTTCTGCAGTCTGAATTCATGTTCTCTCTTCTTGAGAGCGTCTTCAAAACCTATGGAAATCAACAGACCTACAGTTAATATTCCCAAGCTTCCAGTAACATAATCAGAAATAATTTAAGCAAAAAAAATTGAAATGGAATATCCTTTATCAAAAAGAAGAAGACCAAGGGAGTAAATTTGATTTTTTTTTTACTAGACTTATTGTCATTTTTTTTTTACACTAGCTAGTATATTTCTTTTTCTTTTCTCTTTTTCCTTTTCTTTTTTTTATCTTTCTTTTTACTATGACTTACTGTAAATCATCCAGGGATTCCTTTTTGTTCCTTTGTTTGTAATTTTGGTTTTTTTTTTTTTTTTAACTGTGACATACAAATTGTCAATTATCCAGGGATTCCTCTTTTTTTCTTTTGTATGTTTGTAATTTTGCTTTAGCTTTTCTTCCCCTCTTACTATAACTTACTAATTGTCAGTTCTCTTTTCTGTGTATCCAAGTCATCCTCCACCTGTTTTAACTGTCGCTGTAAGTTTCTCTTAAAAGTTTCAAACTCTTTTCTCTCTTTATGAATTTCTGAATCTTTTGAGCTGCAAATAACAAAGAAAATTTAGGTAATATTACATAAAACCTTGCTATCAAACTTACGTTTCAACAACACATTGAGATTCTCAATATCTCTATGTACAATAGGCCAACAGGCTTGCGCTTACAAACTTACTGCACAAACAGGACATGGGTGGATTCTCTGCCAAATATGAGCTTGTAATTTTCTTTAGTTACTGAGTCAAGGTCACAATAAATATTTCATGGGGTCTGAGCTAGCCAGAACCTTGGGGACATGAATTTTACAATTGTTGGTAGAGGGGCCATTGCTCATTATAATCAATCAAACAGTTTGTCTGCTACAAGTTTTGGTGTACAAAGTTGCATTGAATTTGGTGATCCAGGCCCCAACCACAATATTCGTAAAATATGTTTCTCTACCTAAGACAATACCATCATGTAAATACAAAAAATTGGTAAAGATCAGTTCAGGAATTCCAGAGAAGGAGCTGAAAGTATTCAAAAGTTTACCACTGGTAGATGAAACACCTCACATGATGTCATAAACAGGACAGACAGGAGAAGATAGAAATAAGACATTAATTCAGTAAGAGAGATAAAATAAAGGAATGTCTAATAATTATACCTAAAAGATAAGGTGCTGATTTTTATTGTTTTTTATGCTTGTCTATACTAACAGGATACAATACCTTTTAAAAGAGTCAATTTCTGCTTGCTTCTCTTTAAGTCTATGTTGATAGTGTTTCTGGAGATCTTCTTGAGCAAGAATTTCTCTATTTATGGTAGATTTGGTGTCATCTAGTTGGATTTTGAGCTCACTAATCTCTGCAGTTTTCAGATTTAACTGTGCTTTTACTTCTACATATAAACAATGAAAACTTATTTGGAATCACTTGAAATAAACATAAAATGTGCCAGTTTCAGCATTAATTTTAAGAGTTTATGTTTCAATAAAATTGTTTATTAAATAAAAAGCTGAACTTTACCAGAAAATGTGACATCATATCTTTCTAATTCTTGGTCTCTTTCCTCTAAAACTTTGAGGTTGTACTTAAAATCCTCTTTAAGTTTTGAGAATTTTGCTCTCTCCTCTTGCAGCTCTTTTTCCTTCCCATTCAATGCTTCTTCCAAAGTTTGAATCCTGATTTAAAAGTGAGGACATAATACTAAACATTGAATCATGAGACTCTGTCACCATTACAATATTTCAAATAGCACTGCCTAAAGAAATGTGTAACAAAAGAGATATTGAGTTTTTTGCAGTAAGTAAGCTAAAATTGGTATTGGAAGCTGTAGATAATACAAGTACCTTATAAAGGCAATAATTATAGGGGGAAAAAATCTGCTTTGAATGGAATAAAGTTCTACCTTAACTCTGTAACTTCTTTCCATTCTCTCTCTTTTTGAGCTGCTAATTCTTTCCAGTTACCCTGCGTGTCCATTTCTATTTATTTTTGTCTGAAAAACAATTTGAATTTGAAAAGCAATTTGATTTCTTATACCAATACTTGGGCCTTATAAAGTAGTCTTAACACTGCTCTATTTATATAAAAATTATTAATAATTTGAACAATTTGTTTTCAAACAGAACAATACATTTCAAAAAGCATTATAATTTTGCATTACTATAAAAACCTTGAAAAATAAACATTTTATTTGGCAATGATTTTTTCCCTTCTTTAAAATTGTGACTATAATGTTGCTGCTATCAATGTGGAGTGTTGCAGTCACAAGGCAAACCAAAATTTTAAAATAATGAACATGTTGATAAATTGAAGAGCCATGAAGGACTATGACAGAAAAACTTTAAGGCTAGTAAGGAAGCCGTTGCAGAATCTTTGTTGCACTAAGTTTTATGGGTTTTACTCAATGAAGTGTACACTACATCAGCAGATTTAAAGTATGAAAGATGTTCTTGTTCTCATAAATCTATGGGAATAAATGAAAAAAAAAAGAAAATATTTTTTTCTTCAAGTCATCTACATGTATCACTGCACAGTAAAGTAATACTCCTGAGTGGGTCCTGCATTTCAACAAAAAAGGAACTAAGACTTGGTAATTAATACATACAGGGTACCAATATTTAAAAAAAAACTTTATCACAGTCTTTGAAAAGTTGAAACAAGGGAAATTTTCCTCCAGTTAAAATGTACATTGATAGAAGCTAAAATTGTACATGTCGGGGCCTGTCAGGTTCACACATATCTGTGCATTTTCCGTTTTCGATGACAACTTATGCCCAAATATTGCTAAATTCAAATGCAATTGTCAAAGTTTTGTTATCTACCTAAGGAAGATTTAATACGCGGACTTTTTAAGCTTGCATTCTGCTTCTCATTCTGCAAACCACCTGTCAAAATTGAAAAGTTGTTATTGTTGGCTTTTGGTTGTCGCAAACGTCTATTCACTCGATTTTGTGAACTGGGTTAATTTACGACTCAAACTGTAAATATTCACACAAAAATCATTCAGTCTATTACTTTTCCCATTCGTAAGTGAGTTGTGCATGTTCATAATATATAATTGAAACGTAACTACTGTATATCGTAATCGTAAACTTCCGGTTGCAGGTTGAGCACATTGCCTGCGGCGATTGCCATCATCGTGGACTTCAAATATTCAATGCACATCAAGCAGGTGTTTATTTTTTGTTGAAATCTGTTTCTCAGTTACACATTGTTCATATAACTGAATTTTAATTTGACATTAATGACAGAATTCCAACATCGTTTCTTATTTTTTCATTCAAGCAGCTGTCTTAATGCGACTTGGTTTTATCTTGAATATATCGAAATGGACTGTGTAAAACGGGTTGGGACCAACCGCCCAAATGGGATATAAATTTACAATTTTTAAGATTTTGAAACAAGTTACCAGTTCCGAACATAATATTGGCTAGTTCCGAATAATAAATAATTTAAGAACTATAATAAATAAATTTAGAAGTGTAAAAATAAATTCATACAGTACCTTTGTTATGAAGGGATTAATTAATAAGTTATGCTTGTTTAAGTTCTGTAATGGTTTGTTTTTTTGCTGTCAATTTGTATTCGATACCTTACTTAAAATAGTCAACATACTTTGCAATAAATCTGGATCACCAAAAAGCAATTGTCTGTATAAAATCATCTGTCAACACCTTAATTTTTCACACTAAAACATTTCAGCAATCAAAAGTAAGCATGAAATGTATTTTAGCAAACAACAAAGGCTTTTGGAAAATTAAGTAATGGACCACTGGAGATATCAAAATATTTCTGTGCTCTCATTTTACTAGCTGCAATAATGTAGCCCTCTCCGATTTTTTTTATCTGATATTTTCTGGAGAGGGCTACAATTCCACAGCATCTCTGTAATGGTGCAAATATATTTTTTAAATACGGGTGACTGCAGGCAAAATAAATTGCTTTTACATTCAACTTACTTCTAAAATGGTGAAATTTTTATTCACTGTCAACAACATAGCCCGTTAAACGCGAAAACCAGATATAATAAATCTGCTTGTTTACCAGTCACTCTCATCAGAAGCCATGACAGTTCTCGCGTGATGCACTGAGACTTGCGCTTGAAAATTATAAATTACTTTGTAAAGTAGATTTTCGGGGTTACTAAATGATTGTGCTGTATGGCATCACTAAATATTGATAAATAAAACTATTCCATGTGACATTTTTTTGTAAACAGTGATATTTATGCCTAAAATAAGGTAATTCCTACAGAGATCCGCTCCCTAGAGATCCCTAGTCTCATTGGCTGTCCCAAAATAAAATCGATCAAGGTCAGTAAACATGGCGGATAAATTCAAGTTGTGATGTTGACATACACGAAAAATAACCGATATATGGATTGTTCTGTGTATGTTTGGATTGATTTCTGTTTTGTATAACTACATTTTTGGAGTTCAGGTAAGAAATGTTAATTAAATAGCCATTTACTGATAATTTAATCCGAAATCCGTGCGGGAGTGAATCACTCCCGCACTTGCACCATTATGGAGATCCTAAGGAGTTGTAGCCCTCTCCCAAAAAAAAAAAGGGAGAGGGCTACATTATTGCAGCTATCATTTTACCAGTTCAAATACCCATAATAAACACTACTATTTGGTTTCCTCATTGTAAACTTCATTGCATGAAATACCATAATAAGTTATTGGGTAGCATTTTTTTTCAACTTTTTCTAGGCATGTCAGTCAGTGGTGTACAGGACAGATATTTTTAATCTAGGGTTGATTTGCATGGGAACCACTAATGTATTTGGAACTCATTGGTTTATTTGCAACTTGTAAAATGACTACCCATGCTAAAATAAAAGTTCTTATGGAAGATTTTAGTTTGATAATGCTACATTCAAATCTGCATGTCTTTGGGCTACTTTGATAAACAACTTAGATTTTTAACATAATGCCTGCGGATATTTACAGTACCCTTTTCAGAATTGGTAAAACAACTGTAGCTATACATGTAAATATTGTAAATCTTCAGACTCAGTTCTATATAGGGTGTGGGTGAAGTCATGGGCCTCATACTCAGTTCTATATAGGGTGTCGTTGAAGTCACGGGCCTCAGACTCATGTTGAATTTCAGAAAAAAATAATATGGTAAAAGATATCAATTTTTCCGCAAAATTCCTCAAATATGATATTTGTGAAACGGATAGAATGAATGACACATGAAGGGTGGAGCCTAGGTCCCTTCAGGAAGTTGCTATAATTTTATACATCGACTATATTTGTATTTATAAAAAGAGTGTCATTCGAAATTTACCGTGATTATAATTTCCTGTGGCACAATTCGCGAAACGGGAAAAATTCATTTTAATAAAATTGGTTTTCATCCCATAAGAAACCAAAGAAAAGAAAACCAGTATGTGAAAAGCAACATTTTTGGGTAAGCATTTTTTTTTTGTATCTCTACTGTTTAGGAAATTGATCCCTCAAAAGATCCTAAACTTCTTCTGACTTCAATCTGACAAACTGTAGGGTTATAGAAAAACTTGCTTACCAAAAGTTGTTGCATTCAATGTATATTAATGCAGAATCACAATATTTATAGCCCCCAAAAAATCCTCTCTTTTTTTGGCACTGTAAGTTTATATATATATATATATATATATATATATATATATATATATATATATATATATATATATATATATATATATATTATATTGTAAACCAACTTTTATTAGTTTCAAGAAATGTCCACGAGTTTCGCGTCCTTCTTTACCCCATGAATATTTCTCGCCATGAACCATTGATCCTCTTGTATATTTATGTTATTAATAAGTGTTTCCTTGAAAAATGTGAAAAATTAGTAGTGGCAGATTAATTACAAACTGACAAATGGCAATAAAAGATATCATGATTAATAGTTGATATACAGTATATGTATTATTAAAAGAATGATATGGTCAGTTAAGTCGCACATAAAACAATCACATGAAGTTCGTTCAGGAACTAGTACAAGGCTTCAGTGTTACTTTCTAGAGTGATCATAATTTATACCCAGTCAAATACCTTGGATTAATTCCGGCACACCCATTACCAAAATCTGCACTCATTCACTCATCCTTGATAAGTTGAAATTGGTTTTACGCAAACTAGTGTCACTTGTTCCATTTGACAATCAATATATAGGGACAAATATGAATAACTTAATGGCTTTGAATGGTCATGATAATTTATTTGTTGTATGGACGAATATTCATGAAAAGTTTTTATCTCACAGATTCCTTTGACAATTTAGTGTCTGTAACATTTTGATAAATGAATTAAACATTCTCATTTATTTATTTTTTTCAGATATGGCAGGTGCATCAGAAAATGAAGACTACAGAGAGAAAGTCATTGGAGGGGTTCTAGATTTATCCTCTGAAGATCTTGTTACTCTACCCCCTCAGATTGTAAATGGAATTGGTCCAGATATCACTAAATTGCAGTTGGATTTTAATGATATTAAAGAGTTGCCATTATCTTTTGGGGAGGTTTGTGTGAATCTCCAGGTGCTCTCATTGGTTGGTAACCAACTGAAAGAGTTTCCTCAAAGTGTGGGGAGTCTGTCTCAGTTAAAAGAGTTAAATGTGAATGAAAATGAACTTAGGAATCTCCCAGACTCAGTGTGCAAATTGTGTAACTTAGAAGTTTTGAAATTGACAGGCAACCAACTTCAAATGCTACCCAATGACCTAGGTGAAATTCGTAGCCTAAAAGCATTTTACTGTGATGAAAATAAATTAACAAAACTGCCGTTGACTTTGGGGTTGTTCACAAATCTTGAGATTTTGGAGCTGAGTGATAACTCCCTTGTTGTTATTCAAGAAGGCATTGGTCAGTTAAGATCTCTAAAGATATTCAATGTATCAAACAACAAACTGGAAAAAATTCACAATAGTTTAGGAGATCTTGAAAATCTTGAGATTGTGGATCTTTCGAGAAATCATTTGGAGAGTTTACCAGATCATTTTCATTCTGTGAAATGTGTTCAGAAATTTTATGCTGATCGGAATCGACTGGCAGACATTCCACTATGGGTGGCGGACATGAGCGAGGCTTTGGAAATCTCTCTGAGCGACAACCAGTTTTCAAAATGTGCCATAAATGAGAAAATGGGATGTACCTGTACTAAATTAACTTTGTTAGACATTGGAGGAAACTTCATGGATCAGTTACCAGACACTTTTGGAAGCATGAAGAACCTAGAGACACTGCGACTTGGAAGTTGTATTGGTGAACTAGAAAGGAGAGCTTTTCAAAATGGCAACTGGTTGACTTATCTTCCAAAGAGTTTTTGTGAATTGACTAGACTAACCATTCTATATTTGGATGAAAACTTGCTCCAAGAATTGCCTGATGATTTTGGAAATCTTATAAACCTGGAATTTATTGATTTGGGTAAGGACAGCCTACTTCATATATTTGGTTCAGAGGATTTTGAGCATAATTTTTTTTAGGACACCTGAGTCACTTAGATGACCTGTTGCTGCTTTCGTCAGCTGCTGTGTGAAACAGTGTTGTCCTTGAACTTGTCACATTTTTAGGTCTCCAGCTGAGTGACTTAGGTGACCTATATTTGCTTTCTGTTTTCATACATCTCATGCGCTAACATTTGAACATTTTCAGCGTCTTTTCTTGAACTGCAGAACTAATTTCAACCAATTTTGGCATATAGCAGTTTTGGGTGAAGGGAAACAAAAATTGTGAATTCCCTGGTCTCTGCCCCCCCCCCCCCCCCCCCCGACCTGAGGGGTGGGACTCAAACCATCAAAATTAATGCAATCTTTAAAAAATCTTCTTTACTCATGGACATCAAGCAGTCACACTGTTGGCATGATTGTAATAAAGCACTAAGCCTGATCTTTCTCTAAAGAGAATAACACTAAGCCCTGTACCAAAATGTTGAAATTCATAGCCCCTGGGACAGGGATTCTGAAGTTAAGTCAAAGCTCTATTGATCATGTAATGAAAATGCATTAATTCTTTGAAAATCTTCTATGCTCTTGAGTATTTAGCAGAGAAACTAAGTTTATGCTTAAAATGAGAAAAAGTGTGTCTTCCAAAATTCTGAAATCCATGGCCCCTGAGACGGAGGTTCTGGAGTTAGGGTGGGGCTCTATTATGATCATGTATGGGAATATGGGTCCTGGGAATATTTACTCTGCTTTAAGAGTATTTATTTTTCTTTGTTATTTATAATCAATCAATGTAAATAACATAATTAACAGTAAATTGAATAAAAGAATTATACAAGAAATGTAAATATACAATATAAAAAGTACTTTCATGCATGTAGTTTTTGATAGTCAGGTAGACTTGTAAATAATCATGATATTCAGACAGAAATACTTTAAATATATGCAATAAATATTATTTAAAAAATCAAGAGAGGGTATTGTGCTGGGTGTATAATTTGAATATTATGTTTTATGCTAAAGCACTGTTTTGTTATGTTTGGTGATGGTGATAGGGTATAGATAGCACTGGCATATACAAGCAAGTTTCTGAGTGTTGCTGATTACCAGACTAACTATTTTGTCAACCCCTGATTATCCTTTTTCACTTGTTTTTGAGTTTCAGTTTATTTTGTGTTATTATGTAAAATTTATTTACCATTCCATGGATCCTTTACAAAGTTGTATTATATTCAGCTGACCATTAAGGCCCTTGGGCCTCTTGTTAAACTACATACTACTTCTCCAATATCTACCAAACTTGCTGCAAAGCATTCTTGGATTTTATTCAAGTGACTTGCTGTACACTTTCAAAGGGAGATAATTAGGAAATAGTGAAAATATGGTTGGGCCAATATGAAAATCTTCTTTTCAAGAAACTGTGATTCAGAAATGGCCAAAACTGATGTGGAAGCTTTCCATAATGTAAATTCTAGTTTGTTCCAAACATGCATTGTGAATCATGAGCTGAGGGGCCATAAAAGGAATCTAAAAATTTACATAGAAGTATAAAGAAAAAATCTTTTAAAAAATTTATGATGAACACAAGGCTACAATTTTTCAATTTTATCAATCTTTCTGAAATGTAGATTTAAGTTTGATCAAATCATGACCTCTGAGGCAGGGATGGGGCCACAAATTGGTTCTTAGAGAGGCAAAAGAAAAAATATTATTTAAAATCATTCTCTCAAAAAGTACAAGGCTACAAATTGTCAGACATTTATAAACAAGCCTATTTGGGACTATAAAATGGGTGCATAGTTTTATAGGAAGAGCTTTTAAATTCTTCTGATGAAGAACTACTAGGCTAATAAAGTAATTGTTGTAAAATGTATATGAAGGCATCTTCATATAGGGTAGATGCCAGACTTTGGCAACCAAGATAGGGATGGAACCAAAAGGGGTCAAAAGTTGTTCACAGAAATTTACAGGGAAAAAAAAACTTCCATTGATCGTCATTAATCTGGATGCTTGTTATCCCAAGAAAATCATCCATGTTGATTACTAAAACATAGATTTTAAGATTAGTAGAAATAGATGTACATTCTGTTCTTCACTTAGGTCAAGATGGTACTGTAAAATCACATATTTTCATGGGGTCCAGTTTTCATGGTTTTTGGAAGAACTATGGGTTTTGGGGGATTTGATTTCATGGGTGAAGAATTGTTGTGTGGTTATGTATGTGACATTTTACATTTCATGGTGGACATAAATTCATGGGTCTCTTTATACCTCATAAACAATGTATTTTTGAAAATCAAGAAATTACCAGATTTATGGGCTTTCATCATGCTCATTCTCAGGAAGTACACTAGGCACACCTCAACTGATTCGTACCTTCATCTCATTTGATGAAGGCAATGGAATCATCAGAGGTTTGCTGAATGTCGGGAAATACTGATTCAGTTTTGTGTAAACCTTGAACCCGAAGGCAAGTTTAAGTCGCAAAAAGAGTTCACTATTTTACACTGAAATATCTATCTAGGAAACATTTTCTCAAGATCTAAGGGGTTTCAAGTTTTCAAATTCATTTGCAAGGATGCTCATGCAGTGCAGATGTTTTTTTCGTACTGTTCTATCTACACTGAGCTCTTAACACAGTGATAAAAACCTTTTTCTCAAGAATGTAAGGCTGTAAATTGTCCAATCCATATGCATCATTGTATAATGTATTCTAAAATTCCTCTGGAAGGGCAGTGGTCAGGCTTACAAATCTCAGTGCCTAGTCTATGTCATATATAGTCTCCATTTAAAAATATTAAGAACTGAAGAAAAATAAGACACCAAATTTTAATTCCAGTTTTTAATGATGTGAGATTCATTGTTGATATTGACAAAGAAATTCTCAGCACGTCTTCTTTTGCTTCTACAATTGAGATTAATACATTGCAGGTCAGAATGCATTGCATGAGCTGCCTGAATCCTTCTGTAAGCTGAAGTCCTTGAAAGTTTGCCAACTATCAAAGAACAAAATTCAGATTTTGCCTTCAGCATTTGGAGACCTTTCTGCACTAGAGGATCTTCATCTTGATAACAACTTGGTAACAAAAAAAAAAATAAATGATAAATAAATAATATAAAGAACAACAATGAGTAATTTACAGTGAATGATTTAAAAAAATTGTTTCATAGAAATACTTAAATTACAGAGATTTTGAACTTTAAACAATTCCATGAAATTTTTTTTGCTCCATGTATAATCTGGTGCCTAACTTGTTTGGCATTTTTTATTAACCATCATCAATGCTTTCATTGTTAGCTTGAGGAACTCCCAGAGTCTTTGAACAAATTGACAGGTCTTAAGTCATTGGATTTGTTCAACAACAAGTTAACAGAAATTCCGGAGGCTTTAGGTTACTTCAAACAATTGGTGCGACTAGATTTATCAGAGGTGATTTTTTTTTCTTTTTAAAGAAATGAAGAATAAACATAAACTATGTATCTGTATGTATAATCAGTCATTTATTTTAATAGATTTTTATCTGGGCAAGAATGATATAGACTGATATCCCTTTTTGAAGTGATATAATTCTTTGATAACACAAACACTTTCATCTGTTCACTAATGCAGTGATAACTATAGAATAACACTGGGGGGAAACTTTCTATGATTTCCATAACATTCTAATTTACATAAATTTTAGCATAATGTATTTTTTTATGTCACTGACAGGTTAAGCATCTATCACCCCCAATCTTTGAGTAGTTTTAATGCTATAATTATGTGTTAACAACTATAAATCACTTACATGTATCTAGGTGTTAGAGTGTTTCTAACTTTAATTTAAGGTTCATCACCCACTGTTCACACATAAAAAATAGGAGTAAAAGACATAAATCTTATTAAGAGTTATCTCTCTTATCAGAGGATTAATGAACCTTAACAACATAAGGACAACTCTTGGTCTAAGAATTGAAAATGTCTGTCCACATATAAATATTATGATTATCACAGTGGCATATATGGGTAACGCTTCATGATTCATCTTCAATTATAGGTAAAACATATTCTTTTTCAATGTCATCTTTGGAGTTGTCTTAAAAATTTGAGATTTTCTATGTGTGCAAATATAATATTCATGTCATAAAAAAAATGTACCGGTATGTTGCTGAGATATTTAAAGTGTACAAGAAGTACAAAAATAGTTCAAAATGTGAAAGTAATGCAAGTACATATAAATTAAGGTTGACACTTCTATCTGTTAGTTTAGAGTTTTGAAATAAATGTGTATGTTCATTGAAATCTAGTTGGAATAGCTTCTTTTTTTATATTCCAGAATTGCTTCAACATTCCCTGGTATGATGTGCCACAGATTGTCAGACAATCCCACTACCCGCCACGTAATCCAGAACTGAAAAATAACTGGCGTGGTCGAGCCCGACAAGATTTGTCCATGATGGAGGACAAAATCATCAAGGTACAGAAAAGCCTGTTACAATCACTTTTTCTTTGGATATTGTATCTCCGTTGATAAATGTTGAACAATAATCACAATTATAATTGTCTTCTGTATTAATTTTATACATAATTGAAACTTTTTATATTTCAAATATTTCTGGATCTATTGAATGAATATTTATTTATCTGACAGATGGATGTCGCAACTGAAGAGCTGGACTTTGAACCCCCACCTAAGGACCTTGGATTCAGTGAAAATCTCCTGCGTGATGCCGTGGAACATGGAATGTCCTTCTGGAGATCTCATGAAGGGAAGGGAAGAAGACAGAAGTTTGTACGCAGGGATGATTTTAACTTCCTCCAAGTCAGAAAAAGGAGATACTCCCAAGAAGAAGAAGAAGATGAAGAAGATGATGATACTGAAGATGAAGAAGATGACTTTGAGCCTCCCATATTTCACCCAAAAGGAAATAGTGAGTCCTAAATACTTTTCTTATCTAAAAATACTGTTAAGAGATTTTTTGCCTTCTTGATAAATTTTTGAAGAGCTCAATATTACATTGAGATTTATGATGCTTTGAAGAAATAGCAAGTAACTTTTTATTTTAAAAACCTCCATAAAGGAATATTTTGCTTATAGATTGAAATTGATAAGAATGTGTCAATCTATTTGAAATTGTGTCTATAATCTTCTCACAGGTATTGCTTCACTTTTTTCAGTAATCTACTTTGGGTAATCAAGATGTAATTCATTTTATTTGACTCCTTTGAAAGTTTATTTTACACTCAACATGAGCAGATCAAAAATATTTTTTTTTGATAAAACTGATTTATCCATTTAATGAAAGTACAAAACACATCTGGGCTGCATGCAAGATCATAGCAGCTGCATAGATTGTAGTGCTACGAAGTCAAATAAACATCTATGCTAGACCTACATAGTGATAGCAAGCTAAATTACAGCTAGGCTAACTGCTACAATCTTACAGCCCTGCACTTATCAGCATCCATTCAAATTAAGGCAATATTTTTAGTATGCAGTCCAGTATCCAATATGATGGATGAGGGATATAAAGCTGTAACCGAGGCAACAGAAGCAGAAGAGAACTGGGATGATGAGCTGGAAGACGTGGACAATCCTTTTGATGTTCAATATGGTAAGTTTGAAATTATAAAACTACATTTTTAAAATCATTAAAGATAAATTTTGAGGCTGTGTTGGCCATGGTAACTATTTAAGTCCAAGTCAAATCAGTTTCCGTACAAACACTCTCCTCTGCTTTTTCCCAGTCTAAAAGGAATGCATGTACATGTATGCAACTGTCATATCACTGACTTTTCTAGTAATATATGTAATAATATACTCGAAAGTTTTGGAACAGTTGAAATTGCTTCTGTGTCGTATATGAACTTTGATAAAACTCTACATTACATTATATATACAGAAAATGGCTGCTACTTTTGTAAATGTCTAGGAACATTTCAAACTTTTGTTCAATTACAGAAATTGTTACATATCATAACTGCTCTTTTCTCAGGCTTTTAAATGCAAAGGATATTTATTTTGCAAATGATATATGACAAAATCACATAATAAATTATACATCTGTAAATCTGATTGTTACTTTTCTTTTTGTTGCAGATGACAATTACTTCAACAACATCTACCAGCACCCCAGACCAAAGACACTGGCAGAGGCAGGTTATACTGTAGATGACCATTTGTGCCTTCCCTATGATATGCATGTTCAACCAGTGGCTAAAGATAGGACAGAGCATCAGGTGGAGGCTGGTCAATTTGATGATGACTCGGAGGAAGATGTCACATGACCCAGGAAGGAGGTTACATGACTCAGGGAAGATGTCACATGACTGGGAAGATGTCACATGATGTAGATGCCATAATAATTTCAGGGGAGCTTAGAGTGGTTACTCCTGACAACTGCATTAAAGAGCAGCAACCAGCTAAGGATTTTTCTCAAAGCTCATAAATGCTGAGAAGTGAATATTATTATAGTGTAATATGGCCCAAGGAAACAGAATACATGGTTTATTATCCACTCATAAGCAGTAATGTGGGCTGCTGCCCTTTGAGATTTGAATTATGAGGGAAAGTCAGTTTGTCTTTGGTGGCTTCTTTTAATAGGGTTTTTTGCTTAAGGTACCAGAGTATCTAAAGGAGAAATTATATTTTTTATTAATTTGCATTCAAGGTAAATAATCATTGTAATTGAAGAAGTTAAGCATGTTTGATCAAAGTAGGCTTAAACCACTGTGAAAATTTTTAGTAAATCATTTTTTTTTTGAGAGAGAGAAATTATAAGCATCTTTAAAGAATGTTATTCATTGCTATGTTATCTTTCATTATATTTATATAAATGGCATTATATTGATAATATGGTTATGCTCCATTTATTTGATTATGTATTGCATAATATTCTTTAACATCTTCTAAATATGCTACCACTTGATGTTCATGTTATTTGCTCACCAATATCCTTGACGCTGTACTTCTAAGCACTGCACTGTAAATCTGTTGCTGTTTACACACATGTGTCTTTTCAGAAGCATGCATTTTTCTTACTGGTACTCATTTTTCATGAACTTGAAAATTTAAGAATTTTAATTTCTCTGTTATATCTTTATTTTATGGTCATGCAAATTTGGATCAATAGCTGCCCCCCCCCCCCCCCCAAAAAAAAAATCAACCCTTTCTTAAATAACATTTTTTGGAACATGTTCCAATTGAATTGAAGGGAAAAAATATAGATGTAATTATTCTGTTAGCTAAAAGTATATTTTTTTTAATGGTAATGGTGAATTATTAAAATGAAATGTGTGGGCATATTTTCCTATGGAGATTTAATTAATATATGAAGCTTGATTTATTTGTAATCTGCTGGAAAACAAGCACATTACTTTTTTAATGGATCTTGTATGAGATGAATATGCTGTAATTTACATTATGTTGTAATTTATTTGATTTAATCAATTGATTTTTATGATTTGAAAAAATCATTAAAATGATGTTAAATATTTTTTTCCCTCCTTGTTTACATGACTTGCATTGTATCACAAGCAAAATTTTTTTTTCTTTTCATCTTTAACTTGAGTACACCTAATGTGGTTTATGAATTTTTTAATCATGTTTTGATCTTTACTCCAGTTAAAATGAAAATGGCATTTAATTTAGATTTTGCAATAAATTTTGAAGAATGTGTGTTTCGTTTCTCATCACTGAATTTATGAGTTTATGGTTAAAAAATCAAAAGTGCACCATATAATAATGCATTAGATTTAGAAACCTCTAGAAGTTATTGCACTGTTGGCTAATTTGGACTAAATCATGAATTATTTGGTTTTCTGGTATTAGAGAGAATGTAATATGACGAACCCACACTGAGACGTATGCCAACTAGGATAGCATCCACCGTCTTTCAACCCTACCCAGACCCCTAGAGCTCTTTATCCGTTGCAACTGCCGATTTGCACAAAATCAGACTTTTCCTAGTTTTTTTTTTTTAAAGTTTGTTAGATTTAGAGAGCGAGGAGTGATCATCAATGTCATAATCAAGAGCGTTTTGCTGGCATTTGTATTGCTGCACTTGAAATAGCAGAGCATTCAACAGATAACATCATCACCACGAATGTCGATTTTGTTCTCTAATACAAATGTTTAAATTCTTATTACAATATTTTGACAACTTTTCTCTTATTGCAATGTGCAGACGTATGCACTTTTCCCCTAAAAGAATAAACCACGTGTTGCAAAAACGCGGCAAACTACAACGACTCTGGGTTTGGGATGGACGCCAGACTGCAGCCCAAGATGTTCCAAGGTAATTTAAAATTTAAAACACACACATACAGATCAGATAAAATCCCTTAGTAGAACAGTTAAATAAGTAAAGAGACTCCCTCGAGTTGTGTAATGACGTTTTGCCGGGAAAATATTTTGGAAATGACGAAAGAAAATATTGCCCCTGCACTGTAGCACAGTGCTGTAACTTTCGATTACCACACTATGATTAAGCCTATTATAAAATGCAACTAAATAATTATTGAGAAAATTTCGCCGGCAAGGTTGCGTTATCCCTATGATACAAAGCACTACTATTTATAGCTCAGTTTCTGTATGTTGCAGCGGTAAATTTTAAGCACATCCCAGCTGAGGCTTGGTTGCCAATAGAATTTACTTTACCCCCATCTTGGACCTCACATTTCAGGATGCAAGAAAAAGAAAAGTTCTCCGTTTTCAAGGTAATTTTTAATTTTCCTTTCCCAATTTGAGCCTCTTAAGTTCACACGAAATGTGATAAGTAGTCTGCTCTCAGGTATTGTAGGACAATTTGCATTTTTGTATGAAAATAATTTATGATTCTAGAATTACGGTTTGCTATAAGATATAACGACCTACTTCCATATCATTATTGGGACTTTTTTGCACCACTTGGTGTGGGATAAGCAGTTATACTGTGACTCATCTAGGTGGTCTAGATTTGAAAATAGCAGACAATTTTTTTTTCCTGCTAAAGGCTGGAAATTTAAAACCTTCAATTAAACTGATAACGGTTACTGCACCGATCATAAAATGGAATAAAAGCCTCTTGATGCACTTTATTTGCACTGTGGAATTGTGTGACATATTTTTGCATCTACGTGAACTGTTTAGTCTGTCTAGACATTTTGTCAGTTAATTTCGGAAACTAGGTGAACTACCACATGAAATTTACAAAATGTGTGTATGTTTTCTTTCAGGGTTTTGACATCCCTGATCAATCTCAGAATTATTCGGATTTTTCATTGCCGGATACCTTTAGCGACAATTGCAACTCAGCAAAAATTGACCTAAATTCAGCCACTGACCCTGCTTCAAGTAAAAGGCCTAATTCCAAGAATAATCTAGGACAGACCAGGAAGAAACCAAAGGCTCGGAGATTTAATATTGATACTCCCTCTGCCAACTCAGGAAAATCAATGAGACGGAAGCCAAAGTTAGATGAATTCAGACAGCATAAAGATTTCCGGAGACCGTTTATGTACAGGAGATTAAAATTACAGAAAATGGTAAAATTTTCAATCAATATTTAAAAGATTATGAAGCTTTTGTACATGTATTAGGCTGCGCTACAATTAAATTATTGAGTGCTTTTAGAAATGCTGTAAAACCACAGGGACTTGCTTCCAGAATGTCAACATTATTAATTAAAAAAAGTATGGGCATACTAATACATGTAATAGATGTATTTTAGTAGTAGACCAATATGATTTTTTGTTTTAAATTAATATTGTTTACATTCCAAGAGCAAGCCCTTGTGAAAAACAGGGAAAGAATTCTGCATTTTATCAGGGCCTTGTAGATTAACAATGCTTGTAAGCATATCCTATTTCATTTGAAAAATGTTGGCTTAGATGTAATAACGGGAACAAATGTACATTGTCCATGCCCATGTAGGGCCTTATGTTTTGAAAACCCACTTCAATTTGTAAACTTTTAACCCATCCAGAGATCAGTTTTTGCTCCACTGATCCAAGAAAGGTCTATGAACTCTCTTTGAAGTGCAGATGAATTAATGAATATACATGATGAAAATATTATGAATATGTCGTAAGCTTACAAATTACAAGTCTGATCCTTACTCCAAGCATTTATGTAAGGAATATATTATGATTGATACTATTTAATTTATTTGAATGTGAACAATGTCTGGAATTTAATTATTGATTTTATTATTTTTTTTAAAGAAGTTGAAGACCACACTGACTAATAAAAACCTGCAGTGTCACATCTCCTGTACAACTTCTCTGTACAGTGTTGTAAGGCGATCCAAGGGTCATGAGTCTGACCTTCAGAAAAAAGAGGGACTTAGGGGTCATGAGTCTGGCTTACAGAAAAAAGGACCTAACAGTCACAAGTCTGGCTCACAGAAGAAAGAGGAACCGAGAGGTCATGAGACCGGTCCACTGAATAAAGAGAGACTTAAGGACCCTAAGTCTGGTCCTTGGCAAAAACAGAGGTCATCCAATGAATGTGGCAGCTCCTCAAAAATTTCGATAGAGAAAGGTAGTTCATCTGAAACTGAGAAGGGATGTTATACTGAAACTGAAAGTAGAAGGAAAACTCGAAGCTCTTCTGAAAGTACATCAAGTTCAGGAACAAATGAAGCTCTGCAATCGGTTTCAGCACTTTCAGATTCCTCAATCCCAATGGAGTCATCAGACGAAACTCAGGTGAAATGAAATTCTATTATTGGTAATAATATTGGATAATTATATGTACAGTTGAACTTCATTATCTTGAACACTGATATCTCGAATACCATGGATATGTCGAAGTGATTTGGAAGTCCCAACCCCTAATTCTATAAGTATTTTCCCTGGATATCTCGAATCCTTGAATATCTCGGAAGTTTTTTCTTGGTCCCATTGAGTTCAAGATAACAAGGTTTGACTGTATATAGGCATTTTTTTAAAATAGATTTTAATTCAATTTGGTTTGAAGTCCCATGTATACATTCATAGACTATCACATATCAGACATGATGAGGATTATTTAATTTTGTGGGATTATCCTCCTTTGAAGAATCATGCTTAAGCTTATTTTTTGGATTTAAGAAATGAATTAACTTTAAAATATAAAAGAATAAAAGGAAAAGCTTTGATTTTTCAATATTAAATGAACATTTTATAAGCCAGTTCATAGTCTTGGAAATACTAGTCTGATAATAAAGCATCATACTTACTATAAGAATGCTCTCAACCAAAATATGTGGCCATGATGATGATTTAAGGACAATAATTGTATTCATTGTCATACACATTGACTTTTCCTATTGTTTTTATTTTCTAAACGTAGTTTAAAACATTTTGATGAACTTTTGTTGATGAATCATTTTGTGTATATAATTTTGACATTCTTGCATTGCTTTGCCTCACTATGGGACTTCCTCTATGTAAAGGATTCTTAAGCAAGTCCATATGTTTCACACAAAGTGGTATACTGTTCATAAAAAGAAACGCATACCATAATAGGAATAATACCCTTAATAAGAGATAATAGTTCTGTCATACAATTTTTTTTTAGATGAATATGAATCATTCAAGTAAAATACATTATTTTTTTTAACTTTATTGTTAACTTGACAGCCATTCTACAAAACTAACAGACACAAAAAACTTGATTTAGCTAAATATTAAAATTTGGCCTTTTTTTTTTTTTTTTTACACTTTTCCTTGGTTGGTTTCTTATCCACATCCTTTAGGTACAAAAGGGTTATCAAGAGCTGGGGTTCTTGATAATTTGATTCTGTTTTTTTTTTCCTCTGAAAATTGACACTATTAAAAATGCTGCATCTGAATGTTGCATGGACCATGTGTGACGTCAACAGCACAGGATCACTTCAGTGGTTTACATAATTTTTATTATTATTTCACAATGATCTTGTCTACAGAATTGGCTATCCTTCAACTGCAGAATATATCCAACAAGACCATTTGCATTTGACTACAGGGTGCTGGAATTAATGCTTGAGGACTCGTGCCATTTTTCTGATCCCATTGACTTTAAGGAGGCTGGGGGGTCAACAAATTAACCATCAGATATAACTTAATTTTTTAGATATAATATCTTAAGCTGTCAACTATCATTTGGCAAACAAAAATTTCATACGTTTTAGTTTTAAAATTTGATCATTTTTGTATATCTTTATATGGAGCTCTTCTTCTAAAGGAGATCAATATAGTCTGAAAATGGCCACAACCACCCAGCCCTCTTAAAGGTCTCAGACCAACAGAGTATGGCTACAGGAACACCGCTGAACAGTTTGGTGAAGCTACTAGTCGAAAATGTTTATTGGGATTCAGCATGCATAAGCTTCTTGATGAACACTGTACAGAAAACTGCCTCAGGGAGGTAGATAGATTTGGTGGTGGTTGTGTATTGATATGGAAAATGGTATTACATACAAGTAAGACTGATTTGGTTCATATTCAAAGGACTTTGACAGAAAATGGTACTCTAAAGATGTCCTACTTGCACATCTTTCCATTAATGCAGATTGTGGAGCTGTATTTCAGTCTGACCATAACAGCCATACATGGCTTAATTGTTTGACAAGTGCATTCTTGCAAAGCTACAGCATCCTGTTCTGCCTTGGCCATCTAATCACCAGATTTAAGACCCATTAAGAAATGCGTTAGACAAAATGGATAGGCATATCTGCCAAAGACAGTCGCATCCCCAGACTATGCAACAGCTGACCAGAGCTCTACATTTAGAGTGGGATAGCATTCCCATACAGTTTTTAACACACTCATTAGCATCCATTGGGATGTTGTTTTAGGCTATCTTTGATGTCTGATGGGGGCATATCGGATATTGATCTTCAATGACTTTGAACTGTCCATGATTGTAAAATTTTTGAGTAATTATTGCATTTAGATTGTAGACCTATTGTTTGGCATACTTCTTTATTATCAATACACTATTCTGTTAAACAATTGTTATGTTCAGTGTATCCCTAAAATTTCACTATGCTTTTCTTTTTTTTTTCTGAAGAGTATATATTCTGGTATTTCACAGGATAATCATGTTGGGAAAATAGTGTTTGCAAGCCTTAAAAACACTGCCAGTATATCTAGATGGTGGCCAGCTATCGTTATAGAGGGCAAGGAAGTGAATAAACCAGAGAAGGCAGGGTTTGTCTGGATCTTTTGGTTTGGAGACCATAGGATATCTCAGGTATGTCAAATTTTCGAAGAAATACATTTCAAAATTTTTAATTAAAAAAGTGATACATATCCTTTATGTATTAAGTAAAATATAATAAGTATATAGTAAATACCTTTAATGCTATTTGCAGCAAATAACAATAATTATTCAGTAAATAACATTAATAAGTAAATACATTGTAACAGCAAATATACCGGTACTCAGTAGATAGTAGTATGTAGTTAGTATTCAAAAAGTAACAGTAGAGACACAACACATATCCTTTTAGTTTTAGTAGTGTGTTTTAGTTTAAGTTCAGTAAATGTAATGTATATTTACCTGTAGGTTATGGCCAGTAATATAGTGGATTTTCCATCCAATTTTACTCAATACGGATTGTGCAATAAGATAGTGAAGAATTGTCCAAACTTTAACAAAGGTCTGAGCGAAGCTATTCAGGTGAGTGCACTTTAAAAGGAGGCATATCTTGGACTCCACTTGGCCTATGATCAGTTGATATATCTTGGTAAGAAGGTGTGTTGCTACATAGAAGAGTACAAGGTTTCATTTCAGAACAGTAGAAATCACACTGTATATGAATTATCTTTATAATTATGACCAATCAGATTCAAGTATTTTACATTTTTAAATCAACCTTTTGTTACCCATACAGGGCCTTGTCACAACGAAGTATATGGAAAATTAGATTTTAATGAGTGTTAATTAATCTACAAGTTACTTTATATAGTAGGCACTGTCATATTTTTATCCTCTCGCAATGAAGTTGGAGTGGATATGGTAGCATGTTTGTATGGGGTGGGGTTGAGGGGAGATGTGAGTGAGTGCATGAATAATGGAAGTTACACAAGTAATAATTTATATCAGGATTGATGTGCTGTTTTGCAAGAGAATGCTCCATTTTGTATTGCCTTTGTTAATTACCAGTACATAACAATCATTTCAGATCTGTGCTGAGAGGGTTGCCAGAGACACAGAGGATATATATGAAGAGGAACTACTAATGTGGGCAAAAGATGGCTTCCCCTCAGATCATGGACATTTCTTGCCTGATCAAAGTCAGTGACAAACACTTATACAATGTATTCCAGAGAGAGAGAGAAAAGAGCAACTTTTTTATGAAAAAAAATTCAGTTGTATATTTCTTTTCATGAGAAAAATTTTACTTGTATAGGTTTTTGGACTATAATGCAACAAAAAGTTGGTATTACAAGAAATATATTTGCTAAAAGTCTTAGAAAATGAATGGTTGAAAATAATTAATTACAAAATATGCATTGAAACCAATCTCATATGAACTGAATGACTTTGTAGATGACCCTTTACCTCTTATGGTGAAAAACTACCTCATGAAGATAAAGGACAATTTGAAACATGTAGAAACATCCAAAAAAAGATCTCCAAATAGTAAGCAACTACTTTCTCTGTACATACATTGTAAAATAAAAGGAAAGATGTGCTTTAAAATGTATAGCAATAGTCTATAAAGTTTTAGAAAAATCTGCCTTAAAGGGAGGTAACTTCATTATCTCTGATAAATACTGCATCTCATTGTAGAGAGTGCAGTAAAAGCGCTGAAAGCTGGTGAAAAGGAATTATCTGGTGAGTTGTTTTATATGCATGCATATAACTGTCCTGATTTTAAACCTTTTTTCACATTTTTTTTGGAAAGATATTTACATATTGATAAAAAAAAGTATATAGTTTTTAGGCATTAATTTGTACAGTGGTACTACTTGTGACAAAGATATGAAATTGGTGACATTTAATTCTATTATTGTTTTCAAACTCAGAAATCTGCCTATCTTGTGATGACATTGAACATGTGGAGGTTGAGGATCATCCTTTATTCTTTGGGGGACTCTGTAAAACATGCAAGGTATGTAGTAAAAACATAGATGTTGTGAACCAGTGGGAAAGGTCAGAATTGTTTCATTACATTTATAATCTATATTTTTCTCATATTTAGTTAATAATTCATACCTTTGTTATACATGGATGATATGATGTGTTTACTGTAGCCAGTATATTGAAGACTCACTGGTTATACTATATATTTTAATAAACTCATTTTATCCTCAGTTATTTTCTTTTATAGGAGGAATGGAAAGAGAGCATACATATCTATGATGATGATCAAACCAATGTAAGTAAACTTATGGAGTAAACAGTCAATCTGGAGGTTGAAATTAATAAATAAAGGTTATTATTCTTATTTAAATATTGAATCCATCTTAATTGATACTTTGTGACCTATACATGTATGTGAACTGTATATACTGTATATAAACTTTTGAGCAATTTTCTGTAATTAATAAAAATGTGCTGTATATAGTGCACACCCTAGAAATTAAAAAAGAAAAAAATTCACTGAAGACAAGAAATTATTTGAAATCAATTTTTCCCTTTATTTTACTTTTTTATAAATAGACTTTTTGTGTGATTTGTTCTACTGGAGGAGATCTTGTCGTATGTGAAGATGTAAACTGTGGAAAGTAAGTCATGTGCATTTCATTTTAATTTTACTATAAAATCAATTATTTTTCATGGTTTGAGGGGAAAAAAAATTGGTTTGTGGGGATTTTATCTCTTGGTTAAAGATGTGTGGAGTAGAAATGGTAGACAAACATGATACTGTAGTTTCAAATTTTAGCATTTTGTGGAGGATATGAATAAATGGGTCTCTGCATATGATGAAAATTAAACACCTGCAACAACAGTGATTTCACAGTACTGTAACATCAGTCTGAATATTTAAAAAAAAAAAGGGGGGAGGAGGGGGATTTCAAATGCTTGATGTCAGATTTCATTGAATTTTTACCAAAATACATATACTAACTGATGCTAAACAATTTGGTAAAACCTTTCACCATTTTACCTCTACTTTCTACCCTGTAATAGTTGGATACCTGTGATGAAGTAGTACCCTATCTATTCTTATCTTTTATGTATTACAAGCACTAAGGTCACAAACCAGTCCTTCTTCCACCTTCAGATTTATCCTTATATCTCTCTGTACCTCACATTTGACTAACAGTGCCTTCTACTAACAGGTCATACTGTGTGGAGTGTATCAAAAACTTTCTAAGTGAAGGGCAGCTCAAAAAAGTAAGATGGATATTTTTGATGTATTAACTAATAATATTAACTTTGGCAAGGTCCAATGTCATTTTAAGGAAACAGAGTCAAAGACTAAATAACATGTATCATAATGCTGGAATTGTAGATAAAAGACACTAAGATTTGGAACTGTTTTCTATGTACTACTTACACTAAGCCCACCCATGGAGTTCTTATCCCCCGTCCTAACTGGAGGGACAAAACAGTCCACATCTTTGATTCTGGATACAGAACTGATGTAAGATTATACAATTGACCTGTAATTTAAATCCCCTACAATTATTATTATGATCAATGATTTATTCTTAATTTTGTTCATAACATTTCATAAAAAATTCTTTTATTCACTAACAGCAACACTATTTTTTTATTTTTTTCACTCATTTTAAAAATTATTTTGAATTTTTTTTTTTTTAATCATTATTTTATTTTAGTTCCTTGAAAAAGGAATGTTAAAGTGACTTGCTTTCATGAAAATTATTTCAGATGTCACCTTCATTTTTCAAAGGTCCCAAACAGACAGTAAGGGTATTGTCTCTCTTTGATGGAATCTCAACCGGTAAATCTATACGTAATTAATTTTCACTTTTGCTTTTTGGCACGGACTTTGTAATTTCTATATAAATACAGAGTAATGTATCAGTGAACAAAGTTCTTGATTATTTGTGTAGATGTAGTCAACATTGTCTTAGTTTCATGATTGAGTACTGTAAAGGGGGAAATAACTTTTGGTGTTTTGTTATATTTGCTTTTTTGATGGATCCATATGGATTAAAGAAAAAGAGGGCAAAGGGGGGGGGGTTAATTTGTATGCTTAAAAGTTGTTAAAAACACCTTGAAGACATGTTTGATATTTGCAAAAATTAAAATAGCAATGATCGAATAAGCAGAATTTAATACTGAATTTAAACCCCTATGAGTATATATACATGTATATCTCGGAAAATAAAGCATTGCATGATGTGATATTAAAATACATTGAGATACTAGTACTTACTTTTCACATACCAAATGCTTGGCATAAATAAAACTTCTTTTTCTAATGAAATATAAGCTGACCTTTCCTATAAATAGGAACTGCATGGCCTAAAATTGTGACATGTAAATTTTTCAGTTTGTATAGCAGTAGCATTGCATAAAACTGCAATTACCCATACTAATTTGCATTTATAAATCTCTTTTTTCTGATTTTCTTTTTATAAAGGAAAGGTGGTTTTGGACAGTCTTGGTTTTGAAGTAGAAACATACTATGCTAGTGAGATAGATGAAGAAGCCATCTTGGTTTCTATGGTAAATCATGGAGACACAGTGCAGCATCTTGGAGATGTCAGAGAACTTACCCCTGAAAAAGTGAGATTTATCGAAACCTCAAGAAAACATGATATTTCAGTAACATACATTTCTGTCTTATCTAAATTAAAAAAAAAATGAAAAGTTGTATTATATACATATTTTTAATTTTCATTTTACCTTCGTTTAAGCTGGATAAACTTGGAAGAATTGACGTTTTGATGGGAGGTTCTCCTTGTAATGATCTGTCTATAGTAAACCCAGCACGGAGAGGTTTGAGTGAAGGTAAGAAAGTGTCCACAACCTCAGAGCAACAATTTGTAGATTTCTTAAAAATGAAGTGAAAATAGGAATTATGTTCAGGAGGGGGGTATGTGGGGGACATGCTTGTATTTAACAGTGCCAAAAAAAAGTGTAGAATTTTTAGAACTTTTAAAAAAATCTGGTTGGAAGTTGCAGACAACTTTTAGAATTGTGGAAGTTGTGTAGACTGAATTCTCAGTCCAAGCACATGAACCTCTTTTGGAGGCAACTTTTACAAAATGTGTCAGTCTTGATAACAGTAGTATCATTCAATTCGCACAATACGTTCTATTTCCACTATGGAAGAGTTATCCTTCTTAGTACGCTCTTTTGTGAAAAAGTCGGAAAATGTACAAATCTCGCGGGATTTCTGGGACAAACGTAACATAAACATGTAAACAATATGTTGAATGTCGATGAACAAATCCTAACAAAATGCAAATGAAATATTTTATTGTGGTGGACTTTATATACATCAAGAGTAGGAATGACAACGATATCAATTTATATCTGTTGTTGATCATATGTTTCTATTTATCGTATGGTACATCTAATACAATACACATGCCTCGGAAATGTATTGTTTATTAATGGATGATAAATTTAGGGTTCTCGCTCTCTTACATATGTCTTTTAGTTCTTCTTTTCTTTAATTGGAATGACAAATACGTTTAACATTTAAAATTGGATTGAGATTGGCATGTTTTGTATTATCCGCAATGCCATGCTGTCCCAGTCAGACGACCAAACGCGCCTCTAATTTTGAAGAGTTCACTAATGGAAATCAAACGTATTGTTACAATGTGATCAAACTTTTTAAATCACCACACTGTGGTTTTCTGAATCCATGTTACCACTTTTTGAAACTGATGACATAATACACTGTATTTGTAGAGGGGACGGGGTACCTAGTGTTTGAGTTTGCAAGGGTACTGGAGTATCTACAGTCAAAGTCCCGAGCCCAGGGCCAGCACCTCTTCTGGATGTTTGAAAATGTGGCTTCTATGAGAGCAGAAATTAGAGACAACATCAGTGAATGTTTCAAGGTACCATGGCATTCATAGTTTAAATCTGCATTTGTCTTCTATTTTGTGAGGTTATGGATGAATAATGCTATATGCAAGTGTACTCTTCAATTTGATACATCATAAGTAAATAAAAATTGAAGCAATGATAAGGAAATAAACAGTTGTGATAAAATATATGTAGCAATCTATGATTTATTTTCTCATATTTTGTGGTGTGCATACTTTTTCCTGAATTCATTCTTGGACTATGAAAACATAGTCATGAAGTTAAAATTTCAACCTAATGGAAATGAAAGATTTGGTAGTTAGATTAGAATCTTCAGATTTGTTTTACAAAGAAGAATTTACCTCAGAAATTTGTACCCCATTTTCCAGTGTCCCCCTGCCTTATGGGATGCTAAGTATGTTTCACCTGCCTCACGTGCTAGGTATTTCTGGGGGAATATTCCTGGCATGTACAGGTAAGACGCTCCTTATTTTGAAAAAATAAATTAGGTAAGACAAAATATGGTTAAACACAGCTAAAGGACTACAAAGTTCTTTTTTTCTTATTAAATACAGTATATACTCAGTAATAATGGGTAATATAATCTTGATTTCTGTGTCATGTGAGAGGAAATAATAATTTGATAAAACTTTTGAAAGTTTCCACTGTAATTGGTGCAGAATGTTTCTTAAACTTTTGTTTTTTGAGTAATTTTTGTATTTTTTTCATTCGAATTTGTTTTGTTTTCTTCCAGTACTCCTTTCTTGAAAAATCCCAACTCCAGTGAGGACTTTCATTTGAACGATGTCCTTTATCTACAGAACATTAGATCATCCAGGGTAAGGAGGGTTCAAAAAAAAGTTTTATTTTATAATCTGAAGCACATAAAAAAGTTATGTATATTAATAATTACTGAATATAACAACAGAGCAAAACTGTATTAATATCTCTGATAAAGCAGTAAATGCTATTGTTTATGTTATTATTAATGACTATATTATATAGCATATACTACACTTATCCTCTGCAAATCTTATGTGTAAATATTTATGTATATATTTTTATACCTATGAGATGTAATGTCTCTTATTACATTTTCAACAGTGAAATACCATGAGTTATTTATTGAATAAAAGTGATATTCTCTCACAGTGTGAAAGGATACCAAAATGATATTCTCTCACAGTGTGAAAGGAAATCAAAGTAAGTAAAAATTAATTTCTGGCCTGTCATAAGATAGAGATATTAACTAAGCATCTTGATAGAGCTAAAACTGCAAATTTCTTCCCAAATATGTTGCTAAAATCCATGCTATGTAATGTTTTCAATCACATAACTGCAGCGCTAAGCTATGATGTCTCAACCGCTCAACTATGACGTCAAGCCTATGACAGTGTTAAGAAAAGACGGAGGCAAAGGGAAAATCAAAGAAAATGTAATAAACAGAAAATTCAATGTTTTGTAGATGAATATGGAATTTATTTCACTCGTGAGACAGGATTTTTGTTATATTTTCACTGGTGCTTCGCACTCGTGAAAATATCAAAAAATCCTGTCCCACTCGTGAAATAAATTCCATATTCATCTACAAAACATTGAATATCTGCTATTTATTCAAATAAAACATGAAAACATCTCTGTAATGAGAGCAGCATAAACAAGAAATAGATACCATATGATGGAATTTCTGTGGTTCCATTTTTTTTTTTTCTGGTCTGAGCCCTCAAAATTCACATTCTTGCATTTTCAATATTTGTGATTCTGTCAAAGTAATTAAAATACCAAAAAATGTACAACTGAAATATTTTAGCAATTTTGAATGAACTGTAAAATTATGCAAAAATTGAACAATGGACTGCAAATATTACTTGAAAGCTAGTGAAAAATTCATTTTGCAGAAAGTATTTAAAATAGAATGAAACAGTTTTTGGTTAAAATCAGCACAAATAACCATGAGTATAAGCTGTATAGAGTATTTAGAACATTTGCTTTTTGATATTGAAGTACAAGTCAATCCGTTGCATCACTGGGAAAAGGAACTCTCTGAAGCAGGGAAGGAATGAGGACCAGTTAGTTATACTGATGAATGGGAGGGAAGACAATATGTGGATCACTGAAACTGAAAGGTCAGTGTTAAGAAAATTTGCTTAGTTTACTCAAATTTATATCATCTATGTAAAATAATTAAAGAAACTTAAACAAGACTTCTTTATCAATTCTGGCTCCTGGGAGCCTTTTGTTATGGTATTGTAAAATTTCTTTTTCAAATAGTCCTTAAATTTTAAAAATGAGAATTTCATTTTGTAGAGTATTTGGATTTCCAGAGCACTACACAGATGTAGGAAACATGTCGGTTACTGCTAGACACAAGCTGATTGGCCAGTCCTGGAGTGTTCCTGTAGTAAAGGGCATTCTATTCCCACTCAGGGAATTCTTTCTCACCAAAGATGATCTCAAATAAATGTGATAAGTATTTTTAGGTTTTTATGGTAATTGAATAGAAATGCTTGGTTGAATTGACTTTTTATGAACTAATGGTATTGAATGAAATTTTTAAAATTATACTGATTTTACCTTGATTCTTGAAACTGTATTTTCAATATGGTCAGTAAATGAAGTGTTTCATAAGAGGACTTCTATCTCATACGTGTAAATGAATTGAGGTTTTTTTTCCATGAAGTAGTTTTATTAAATGATTTTTTTTTAAATTAATAAATTAAAATCATATGATGATCTGTTATTTAAGATTCTCTTGCAATTGTTTTTGTTTTTTTTTAATGCTTGAATTGTAAGGCTTTGAAGGGGTTATGTATGTGATATCACTTTACTGCAATTTTACTGGAAAGTCTTTGATTGTTAGTTCAAATGTGGCACATTAAATTATTGGCGTCTCCTTTTGAGATGGGAAAATAAATACCAGTTTTGTTTATGTCAAAGTCAGGACCAAAAGCTTTTTATACTTTCATTTTTTATTATCATGATAGAAGTCCTTTAATTAAAGATGCTTAAAAAATTAAATTCTAAGATAATTTAGATATTGTGTTGATTGATATACAGTTATTAAATTGTGTGATTTGTGCTTATTAAATGTCTGTTATTGGTTGATGAATGAAATGTTGAATTCTTTGATAATTTAATATTGTATAATGATAGATGAGGAACTTAATATTTTGTGGCTTATTAGATTTTCATCATTTTTAAAAATAGAAATAATTGATCCTTACTGATTGGACAAGATTTCTGTGTTTATCTTGTGATAACTAAAGAGGCCATATTACCATTTGTGATAATCTATATGTAAAGTTATACATATTTTGAATTTATTGTGATTTATTTGGTATCTACTTGATGTTTCCTACTCAAAAATGGCATTGGAGCATTCAGCAGGATATATACATGTACGTGGGAGGTGTTGCTTTGTATTTCGAGGTATTTTAATGTTTACATTTATGGCAGGCAGTTTTCAAATATATTTCTTTTTCACTATATACTGTTTCTTTTTTATTACCAGTATTTTTTGTGTGTTCATTGAAATTTTCTCAAAATTCAACAGAAAATTGATTGTGTGTTTGCAGCCCTTCTGTGTTCTTGAAACAGTAACAGAAAATATCACTACAAACTCTTCAATTAAACTTCAAATATTTACAGTAAAACTCAATTATATCAAAATGGTTTTAGTGAACACCTCTACTTATTGAAAAAGATATTTGCTATAAACCAGAAGTTACTTAGTTAACTGGCCACACTGTCTGCTTTATATGGTCTTGGAATTATAACTCAATATTTAGATGATGGAGTTTTTGAGCTCTAGCGGTCGTGTCAGATTTCTGAATTTTACACAAAGGTGACCTTTCAGCTATTTGCTGGAATTCATTTTGTTCACTTTGAAAAACAAGAGGCCCAAGGGCCTCAAAAGTCACTTGAGTATTAAAGAACCCTGAGCAGAGAAGATTTTAAGTAATAGAGTGCCACCCTAACACCAGAACCTCTGAGCCAGGGGCCAGGAATTTCACAATTTCGATAGAGGCACCCCTTGCTCATCATAATTATGCACTTAGTTTATCTGCTAAATACCCAGGAGCAGAATTTTTTCAAAGAATTCATGTATTTGTACTATATAATCAAAAGAGCTCAGCCCTAACACCAGAACCCGACACAGCTACCAAGGAATGTCCCAATTTCAGAAGATGCATCTTTACTCATTATAACCATGCTCTTAGTTTGTTTGCTTAATATACAGAAGCAGAAAAGAAAATTTAAAAGAAATATTGCATTTTCACTATATAATGAATAAAGCCTAACCCTAACACCAGAATCCCTGACCCAAGGGCCCTAAAATTCACAATATTGGAAGAGGTACCCTTGCACATCATAACCAAGCAATAAGTTTGTCTGCTAAATGTACATGGGAAGAGGAGATTTTTAAAGAATTTATGCATTTTCATCAATTGTCTTACACCAGAATCCCTAATGCAGGGACCCTGAAATTCACAATTTTGGAAGAGATACCCTGGCTCATCATATCCGTGGACTTGGTTTATTTGCTAATTACCCAGGAGGAGAGTAGATTTTCAAAGAATACATTTTTATGCCCCTGGATCGAAAGATCCCGGGGCTATATTGTTTTTGTCCTGTCTGTCTGTCTGTCTGTCTGTTGTCAACTTTAACCTTGCCCATATCTTTTGATTGGTTGGAGCTATGACTTTCATATTTCACATGTGTATTCCTTGTGACAAGACCTTTCTTTGGGTACCATCATTTTTGACCTTGACCATGGAGTTTGACCCACTTTTGCAAAATTTTATGAGACTTTAACCTTGGCCATAACTTTCGAACAGTTGGTGCTTGGGGTTTCAAACTTCACATGTACATTCCTTGTGACAAGACCTTCTTCTGGATATCAACCTCTTTGACCCTTTGACCTTGACCTAGGAGTTTGACCTACTTTTGAAAAACTTTAACCTTGGCCATAACTTTTGAATAGTTGGTGCTAGGGCTTTCATACTTCACATATGTAATCCTTGTGACAAGACCTTCCTTTGGATACCAACCACTTTGACCTTAACCTTAACGTTTTACTTACTTTTAAAAAACTTTAACCTTCGTCATAACTTTTGAACAGTTGCAGCTAGGTCTTTCAAATTTCACAGGTATATTCCTTGAGACAAGACCTTTCTTTGGGTACCAACATTTTTTATCTTTTGGCCTGGATTTTGACTTGCATTTGAGAAACTTTAACCTTCGCCATAAGCTGCCATACGGGGGCATCAGTGTTTCACAAACATATCTTGTTTCTATACAATTTACTAACCCCGGTCATAATCCTACAAGTAACTTTTCCATTATTAATCCATGTAGTTGCAACGTCACGTTAATCATTAGGGAATCTTTCAAGCCCACAGTGTGCCAATGTGAATGTCATGAGACTTTTTTAACTATGTACACCAAGACGTAAGCATAGTCATGGACATTGATCATACAGTGAATATATCTTGATTCGCCTTTACCTTGCATCAATAAAAAATTGACGAGTTTTATCAAATGTAATAATTATAATGAACTCGAAATAAAGACACCACGGAGCCTGCCACTTCTGTTTAAAATTTGGCTATTTAATTAAAGGTTATAATGGCCGACTAACAACAAAACTCTATGAATGTCTTCAGCTTTTCCATCGTCAGTTTTCCTTATCAATGTAGTAATACATGTATTTCACGATCACCTGCGTATGGTGTTTATGTCTCACAACTTATTCGATACGCAAGAGCATGCTCCGAGTACGATTTTTTTTTTTTACCGAGGCAGGCCACTGATAAATAAGTTGATGTTATAGGGATTTCAACAACCTGGTTTAAACTCAGCATTTCGAAATTCTATGGTCGTTATAATGACCTTTTGGAAATATAACCTATCACTGAGTTGTATTTTGACTGTCAAGTTTAATACCAATTGCGGCCATTGTTTTTTATACTAAATTTGATTACGGATTACTGGTTTTCTGTCTACCAAAACATAAGGCTCATGACGGGTGTGACAGGTTAACAGGGGATGCTTACTCCTCCTCGGCACTTGATCCCGCCTCTGAAATTTCCAGAAGTCCGTACTTTATGCCCTATTTACAAATTTGTATCATTTAAAGGATTTTTGATATCGATCACTCTTCGTTATCTCCACGTATAACGTCCGGACCAGCTTCTGACTTTTCAGTTTGTCAGTATTTTTGTTGGTCTACCAAACGCCTCTACCGTCTGATATTCGGTTCAGTCATCTTTGAACCTCTCTTGCCAGGTATAAAACCAGTGTCTGAAATATTACATATTTTAAAAAAATCGAATTTCTTTTAATATAGCCTTAGATACCAATGTTTATTAGCATAATATAAAATAAGAGGTGATGTATAGTGTTTTACAATGATAGGTAATGCTTTATACTCTATGCATTATAAATTAATTCATGTAAACAGAAGAAATTATTGTACAGGATAAGTATAAAAATTATGAAATTTTCTTCAAATACCTGGATGCATTTAGTTTTCAGCTTAAAATATATTTGTTTACCAATTTTCAATTAAAAAATTCATAGTAGGTGTTTCTATTCACATTTCCTTAAATATTATTTGAGATTTACTAATTTTCCCTATGTAATATGATTAACTTTAATGGTGAAGTAAGAAGAATTACTGTGAGTAAATACATATTACTTTGAGAATTCAGAGATATTTTTGTGTGCATTTTCAATTATTCAATGTCTGGTTTTCAGAACCCGAGGAATGGACTACCTTAAAGCTAAAGTGGCGAATTCTGTAATAATTGAGTAAAAATATACAATTGATTTACATGTAAGTCATAAAATGAAACTTGCGGATAATAAAACGATTCAGAAGTTCAAGTCGATTCTTTGAAATTAAATGCATATTTATTTAAAGGTTACTTACCCCCCTTTTTGTTGTATCATAATTTAGTCATGGTAACTTGGTGTAATGTATTAGAAAAAAAATACGTTGGAAAAAAGTTGGACCCCCCTCCCCCAACCTTCTTCCTCCCACCCTCCGCGAAATATTATTTTCGAGTTTGAAGACAGTTTTCTTCTTTTCTTTTCTTGTCAAAATTTATTCCAGGTAAGTTAGATTTTTTTCCCTATTAACCCCCCCCCCCTTTCAAAAACGATACTACGTCTCTGACTATAAAATCAGTTGTTAAAGACCACTGTTAATCAGAAAGAAAAATTTGAATTATTTTATTTGTGTATGACTGCACCTCATTATATGTAGATAATTTTGGTTAAAGATGGTCTTCATATTGAAAATGATATGAAAATATATATTTAATTTTCAAGCTCCTATCTCTGTAAATTATAGCAATCTGTTTAAAATTAATCATTGATTTCTTGGAGCAGTGGTGTGATTGCTGTACTGAAAAATGTTATGTTTCCGAGATTTAAAGGAGTATTTTCCACTCATTTTTAGTTTTTTTTCCTATCTTTTCTGTGGTTTTTTAATGTTTCTTGATGAATACAATTTCAAAAAAGTCTTATATATACGATACACTTTGAAAGTATCTCGGAAAGAGAAAGTTCAACTATTTTATTTAATTTGACAAATTGATAGCTCCTTGGTTACAGAATTTTCTAATTCTCATGTCTCCAAATTGGAGTAACGAACATGTAAATTGATTATTATATTTTATCAGAAAGTGAAAAAACAAGTTCGGGCCAGGAGCTTGCTATGTGCCTTAATTAGGGTATAAAATTTAATCTATGACTACTTTTGATCTTTGTAGTTGTATGATTTTTTCGTATTCAACGATAAAATATTTGAATCTACTTCACGAGGTTTTTCAAGTATAGCATTGCTTTAAATTTACAAATTTTCAGTGTATTGTGCAGTTCTTAGTAAATCAAAACAAACGTTGATCATATTTTCATGAAGATATATATATATATATATATATATATATATATATAACAAATACGTTTATTATTAATATTATTAATATTATTTTTTTTTTAGATAAAATTGACTTTTTTATTCAAAATATTAAAACCACATTTCTTAACCGTAGAGTATCGAGAGATTAAAACGCATAGTAAACACCCCCTGTACTGTGAACAGTTTTCACCAGCTGTTCACTGTGTAATGGCGTGTAGTTCTACTGGCTCTGAAGATTTTATCTACAAATTACTCAAAAAGGGGATAAATAATGTCACTTGTGAGTATTTATAATATTAATTGTTGATTGTAGATGTGAAATATGTTTTTGTTGGCTTAACGGTAGAATTAAACGAACAGCATCATCGGATATGGCTATTCGTTAAAAAAACACCAGAACAATCGTGGGTATCCGGCGATTTCAGAAATGGTCAGTGAAAATTTATGTAAAGAAAAGAACTTCTTTGTTCAAAAGTTCTGGTGTAGATAAAGTAAGAAATTGACTTGTTCAGAGCATACATGTAAATCTAACACTACATGTATAATCAAATAAATCAAA